GTAAGGCAGGGTTATAACCCCTGTCAGATTTCTGTGTGTGCCACAGAGGAGATTTGCCTTCACTTTCTCTCTGAAAGCCACAACAGCAAGTAATGAAAAAATCACTTAAAAGTGAGGGAAATCCCTGGTGGTCAGCAGGGTAACCAGAACTAGTGGCCCCATTGAGGGTTTCAGATCTATTCCTGTTTTAATGACAAATCAAAATGTGGGATTTTCTTTCCCTTTCAGTAATAATGGTCACCATGACAAGAAGGGGGTTAATCTCCCTACGAGGACACAGACAGGACACAACAAGTGAAGGGGGTATTCTAATCCCCCTCCACTTCATTTAAAACTAAAATAAAAGTTTTGGCTTCCATTGAACTTGAAGGCATCCTGGGGTTTAGATTGTGGAACCCCATTTGCCATCTCATTATTGACTCATGGGTTTGATGGGTGACCTCACTGGCCAAAAACGGAGTTAAAGACAAGATAGCCAGTGCAGGCTTATAACCTTGGGATTGTATACCAGTGTGCACAAAGATTTCTGGGGCACTAAATAAGAAAATTAAATTGTCACGTGGGAACCTGGAGGAACCTGAAATGACAGAGCAGTGGTGGAATAGGAGGTTTTACATCACACTTCCATCAACACCTTTAAGTCTTTTTTTTTATTTTTTTACTAAAATGGATGTTCAATGGAAGGGCATGGTTCACTGGAAAATGTACCCCCTTGGAAAATTATGTATATATTTTGACAGATCAAAGTTCCTCAGCTGTCCTATGGAAAGTAGAAACGTAAAATGGAACTAGACCCTCCAAACCTTGAAAAGTTCAGTTGAGAGCTGATATAAGCATACTGGCAAATGTCACATTTATCACTAGAGGCATGTTTGTATATTGAAATAAACTTTACTATATCAGATCCCTTGTTAATTCCCAAGGATTGGAGCAGATATATGATGTTTACATAAGAGGAGGAGCAACATTTAATTAAGGAAATCAGAACAATTGAAAGAAAGGGGCTGCATTGTTCTATCCCCATATCCCCAAGCACTCACCTGATTTTCTATTGTATAGAGGCTGGATCTGGTAAGTCTCTTGCCATAAGTGATTCAGTGGTGGTCTCACTGGACTCTATGAGAAGAATAAAGAGGACATATCTAAGGGTGCTGGAAATTGGAACGAGAGGGACTGTAGACATAATTATTGGTACAGAACACTCAACACATTTATTTATGCAAGATGGATGCTTTGATAGAGAATTTGTATTTATTAGTGGTAAGATTGAAGTCTATTTTTTGATTTTTACATTACATGAGTGATATTTGGAAAATGACACTCTAATTGATATTTATATCTATTTACATGTTGTATTTTGCTATTCAATAGGTTTTAAAGCTGAACTCCGGGAAGCAACTAAATACAAAGATGAAATACTTATTTGTGAACTGTTTATTTCTGTCCATTCAGGTCTGGAATTTACACAGCTGTGTCACACATCACAGCCCTGTCTGGCAGGGCAGGAGACCTGATTTTTAACTGGACAGTGAAAAGAGACGCACACTGATGAGCACTGATGAACACATCTCAATGTCACTCTGCTCTTTCCTGCTATCAGCATGTTCCTTTTTAGTACATAAGCACTGGCAAGACGACTGGTTGGCTCCTTGAGCTGCTTCTCCATCTGCCAGAGTGAGCTCTGCTGTACAGTGCAGTGCAGAATGCTGATACCATGTTAAATTCAAACATTTTCACCACTTGCATTTTAAAATATATATTTCATGATTTTTAATGAATAATAACTGAAAAAATGGTGTAGCTTTTATACTTTCCTTGATTTCAACTTGAAATATCTTTCTAATATCTTCAGTATAATACTAATTACGCTGACAGGTAATATGTTGTAGATACTGGATGCAAATCTTGATACTTACCATATTTACTTTATACATGTCTATTATCTATTTATCTTTTGGGCTTTAAAAAAAACTGGAGGAAATATTAGAGACAAATATGGGTAAATTGCAATCATTTTTTTCTAAGACTCCTGAATTTTTAAATATTTTGTTATTTTAATATATTATTTATATTATTATTACTTCTCTGTTGATGTATCCATGTCTTATTATAACTTTGCTCTTGCTTCATGCACTGGCATTATGGTAATCACAGTTCTCTATTGAAGCGGCTGTAATGGAAAACTATATGTTGAAACATGTTTCTTCAATGTTTGTCTTCTGTCAGTAGCTGCGTTGTGAAGTAGTTACATCAGTGCTTAAATTTATTAGCAAACACTTACTTGCTTGTTACTGTGTGCTCTTCCGTTACCTCTTCACACATTCCACCACACAGTCTGTTTTGCCCCTCCAATATGTTTGCATATTGTAACCATAACAAGTTAAAGTGTATGTATATGGAGCACTCCCACCGCTGGAACTGCTGGTAAATGATGGGTTCCCCTACTGTTACCAGGGATGACCTTCCCCGTAACTGGATCTGTCAACACACCAACATACTCGCCAACTGCAAGAAATGGTCTTTATCAAAACAACAATAAGTCCTGAAGAAAGGAAGTGGTTTATTAGCAAAAGGTTGCCCAGAAGTACAGTTCAATAACACTGTAAGGTAATTTGGGCTGGCAAGTGATCGCCAGTGAAAGGTCGTACCTGAAACGCACAGAGCTAGTGAAGAATGATGCTGCATCAGTAAATAAGAACAATCATATAACAATATCCTCCAAACCAGATTAAGAGGGATAAGGCTAGAGTCTGACAGACTCTAGCAAGTGAGTAAATCTACACAGTCTGCCAGCAATGAGGCTCTTAAAACTCTGTGGTATAGCACTCCTCCTTCAAGGGAAGGTGTTTGTAATCCACAGAGGTAACAGGTATCTCCGCAAAGTGCCCCAGTAGCTGACAGTGAAAGCGGTAGGGTGGTCTCCTTTAAAGTGACACTGAACTCAGGAGTTAAATCTTAAAAATGCATTTAAGTACCTTAACTATTTAAAAAATTTATCTTATTTGTGTATCACTCGGATGTAGCTCAAATCATCTCTGAATTCATGCTGACACTGTCCTTGCTTCTGGAGGGTGTGTTTGTTTTAAAGTAGCCACCGCCCAAGCTTGCCCCATGATAGACTACAAACTCAATACTAAACTCAAGAATGTAGTCCGTCCAAGATTTAACTCCTGAGTTTAGTGTCACTTTAAGAAAGCTCTGCCATAATCCATAATATGCCCAAACAGGTGTAGGCAAAACCTAACACACAAAAGATGGCCAAAAGGCCTCTTACTACGCAAACATAAGGCAGATTTTGGAGGGGACGAAACATGGTGTAATAGTTAATACAATGTTTTTTTAAATGATCCATTGTTATTTGACGGGGTACCTGTAACATAATGGTAAGTGTAATGCTTAAAAAGAGGTGAGTAAGAAAATCAGACCCCACACTTGGTCTTTCTAAAGATGACATATCAGGTGCTTGAGACATACCCTAGTCCTGTTTACTTGCTTGTTTCTTGTTGACATAGATGTGCAGTGTGCTTGGTTTATTTATTATTATATCAGCAAAGATTGTGGCCATTTGGCAGGAATAAGCGGAACATGTAGTGCAACGTGCTCCCCCTTCCTAAATCCCACCTTGCAGTGTGCCTGAGCTCCCTTCCTTGTGCCCCACCTGTACTGTCCAACCTCTCCCCCACAGAACCCTACTATTCTGTACGTTTACCTCTCATCATCCAGCATCCACTCTGTATTTTCCCCTTCTCCCCCTTCAGCATCCTTCCTCTACTGCTCTTCTTTACTTGCAATGCCCACCTGGCATTCCTTCCCCCTG